TCTCTCCCTACATGACTATCCCTCCGGGACTCCAAGGTTATCCACCTTCACATTGTTGCAAATTGAAGAAATCTCTATATGGCTTGAAGTAGGCTAGTCGCCAATGGTTTGCAAAACTATCCAATTTGTTACTATCATTTGGCTATAAGCAAGCTCATGCTGATCACAACCTTTTTACTAAGGCAATAGGTTCCTCTTTCACAGCTTTGATCATTTATGTTGATGACATTGTTCTGGTTGGAAATTCAATTGTTGACATTAATTAGATCAAACATTCTTTGAGTTCTCATTTTCATATCAGGGACCTCAGTCAATTGAAGTGTTTTTTGGGTATAGAGGTTGCTCACTCATCTTCTGGTATTTCCTTATGTCAATAAAAATATTGCCTGGACTTCATTACAGATGCAACTCTTCTAAATTTCAAATCCTGTTCCACACCCATGGATAACTCTTTGTGTCTTCATCAAGATTCCAGTGCCCCTCTTGATGATCCCCTGCCTTATAAACGCTTGGTTGACCGCCTAATATATCTCACCAGTTCCCGTTTAGATATTGTTTTTACAACCCAACAACTTAGTCAATTCATGGTTTCACCCACTCAATCCCATTTTCAGGCTGCAATGCGAGTTGTTTATTATCTCAAGACATGTCCTGGCAAGGACCTCTTCTTTAGTAGGTCTTCTTCCTACCAATTACTTGGTTTTAGTGATGCTGATTGGGCCACGTGTGTTGACACCCGTCATTCCGTCACCAGCTACTATTTTTCTTTTGTAGGAAGCTCCCTAGTTTCATGGAAAATGAAAAAACAATCCACTATCTCCCGATCCTCTACTGAGGAAGAATATAAAGCCCTCGTGTCTGCCACTTGTGAGCTTCAATGGTTTGTTTATTTAGTCCACGGCTTGCAAGTTCCTTGTGATAAATGTCATGTCTTATATTGTGATAGTTAAAGTGCACTTTACATTGCTACTAATTCAGTGTTTCACAAAAGGACTAAACACTTGGAAATTGGTTTCCACCTTGTTCGAGACAAACTCTTTTCTGACCTAATGAAAATTCTTCATGTTTCTTCTTCGCATCAACTCGTATATATGTTCACTAAGACTTTACCTCCGAAGTTGTAGATATGTTCATTAAGACTTTACCTCCGAAGCTTTTTCACACTAATATTTCCAAGCTTGAGCTTCATGATCTATTTGAACCTCTAACTTGTCGGAAGCTAAAAGAAACACAAGACCATAATCAAACTTAATTTTATTTTCTATTTTGCTTTACAACTGTATTTTGTTACTTGCATTCTAGAATATGCTAAGGTGTTACCTTTCTGTTATTTCATTTTATCCTTTTCTCTATGATTAGGACGTGTAGGTTGTATATATATCATACTACCTTTTTCAATAAAGTGTGTGAAAATTATCTTATCATCTTTTTCCTTGAGTCTTCCTTTTCTATCTATTCTTTTATTGACCACCATCACATTGATTTTACAAGTTTTTTCTTGGGAAAAATTTTAGAAACTACGTGAAATTTATTAGTCATGTTTTGCGTAAACTACAACCAAAGTTGCATTGCAAAACTAAAATGTAAAGACAGATTATATAAGTGTTTTATCAATGTAGTTTGATGAAAAAAAATAGTTGCAAAAAAATTAAATTTCAAAAATCCTATTTTTTCAAAGGTAGAGTCTTTCATCTTACCCACGCTTCCAAAGAGTTTGATATTTTCAATTGTGAGTATCACAAAGAAGAAATTTTTTCGATGATCAAAATACCTTTTACGCATTGTAGACTGCTTCATACCATTTTCATTATTTATAGAATAATGCATTCTAGAAATCAAAGTTGTGACCACGTGGCTATTGAGGACCTACCATCTGCTGTGGTGCCTAAAACACTTTCATTTTTCTTCTTTGACGATTGATTTTGATTCATCTTTTGTTTGCAAATTTTTCTATTTCCAAAAATGGTCTATCAGGTTTACGTGAGTGCAAAAACTATGCATTTTATTAATTTAAGAAATTATGGTATGGTTTTGGGCTCATGAAACAATTTGGATTTCTATTAAATCATTATTTTTTGGTAATTCATTTTTAATTTTTTTTTGTTGGGGAGTAGTTGGATTATAAACCCAACTTGTATTCCTAATGTAATTTGATTTATCCATGTCAACAATTTTTGCTTTTGATGTGATTTTAACACATGCCCAAAATTTCCATTTTGCGTTCCCTTAAATTGTATAAAAACATATTTTTATTTATGAACTCTCATTTTCATATTCTGTCTCAATTGTCTAAACCACCACCAACAATATTTGGAATATGGACAACAAAACAAATTCATTAGCTTGAAACTACTTTAGTACCAAACTAGAAGGCAAATTTGTTCTTGTGTTTGCATGTCATGTAGTTTTTGTAATTTTCAACAACAAAAGTTTGAATACAATAAATATCACCTTCATGTATATCCTTCTAGAACTTCTAAATGAGAGTCTTATGTACACTCGTGTAAGTTTTCTCATCCTATAAGAGCAAAAGTCTAAACATGTGTAAGTTTTCTCACCCTATATATAAGAGCAAAAGTCTAAACATGTTTAATAATAGAACAAAAAATTTAACTCATTGAAAGAAGGAAAATGTTCACTTGGGAATGCAACAACAACATTTAGATTGATAAATAAAAATCAATCGAAATAAAAATACATTATTATCATTATTGATTATAAGCTAGTAAATTTACATTATTAGACTTCTATATATTATGTCATATGTAAAAATTGGGATTACTAAAGTTTTTTTTTTAGTAAAATTTATGTTAAAATTTTTTAACGTTCTTTAATTTATCAGATTATATAAAATTTAAATTTTTTTTTACAAATGTTAGTTACAAAAAAATACTAGAATAATTGCAAGATTTGTAAATCATTTTTAATGGAAGATAATTCTATTATAAAACTAATTTTTAATTTATTAAATTATCTAAAATTTTAAATTTTAAATATGTTAGTTACAAAATAATTACAAAATTTATAATCCTTTTCACCAAAAGATATTATAAAAAAAACTTTTTAATCTATAAAGTTATCTTAAAAAAATTAAAATTTCAAATATGTCAATTACAAAACAATATATGGCTATAAAAATTACGAGATTTGGAAGTTATTTTTACCAAAAAAGAATTCCATCAAGAAAATCAAGCCACTAAAATAAACCTGAAAGCCTAAACTTTAAAATTCTAAACTCTTGAAATTGTAAACCCTAAACTCTTAAACCCTAAACTCTTAAATCCTAAACCTTAACACTGAAATATAAAACCTTTTTAAATTTATCAAATTATCTAAAAAATTTAAATATGTCACTTACAAAAAAAAAAAATTATGAGATTTGTAAACCTTTTTCATTAGAAGATAACTCTATTTTAAGAAAATAAAGCAACTAAACTCAAAACTATTTAAAAGATTATGAGTATTTTATAATTATAGTTTAAAATATAAAATTTTCACAAAAAAATAATGAAATAGTTAGATTACGAGATTTAAAAATCATATTCACCATAAGATAATTCAATCACAAAAAAATAAAGCCACTAAGATAAAATGTTAAGAGAGAGAGAGCTTAGTGGATATGCCTAAAATTTAGCTATAAAATAGTTACAAACAAAAAAGAAAGGAAAGAGAAAATGTTCACTCTCATACTCAAATATTAAAGTTGTGATATTTTAGTCATTTCAAAATTTAGTTGTTTATTGTTACTTAGGCTAGCAAAATCACATTTTTAACTTTTCTTAATTGCTCACACCTATAAAATTTGGAATATTTTACTTACACATGTTATCAATTTTATTAGGTATATTTTAACTAAAACTAAAAAATTAAAATACGATGACTATAAAAAGATTATTAAGATATGATATTTATGGAAAGAGATAACAAAGAAAAGTGAAGATGATAATCATCATAAGATAATACGGTTACAAGAAATTTACTAATTAAAAAAGAGAGATGATAATGCTTAATAAATTGACAATTTGTTTATATATTATATGTGTATATATGTGTGTCAATACATATATAATGAATAAGCTAACAAATTTACATTATAAGACTTTTCTATATTATGTCACATGTAAAAATTGGGATTACTATTTTTTTTTAGTAAAATTTAGTATTGACTAGATGATACAATAAAGAGAAATAAATTATTGTCATTTTTAACTCTTAATAGTCATGTACTAATATTAAAAATGTCTTGAACATGACATATTCAAAAATTTGAAGACAACCTATATTCTAATATGTTTAAAAGTCTTACATCGTTTAATCAAAATTAAAGATAATTTATAATCATTTTCCCTCCTTAATTCACCAAGACATTTTTTTCAATGTCTAACAAAAATCAAAGAAAATAATATCTCAAATATATAATAACCCTAATAATTCTGATGGACTTATAGTCCAAACATTGACCAAGATCGAGGGCTTGACCAAAATCACTTTTTTGCCTAATATAAAAGTTCGCATCATATTTATCTTTCTTTCTACACATTTTCACCTTATTATTTTATTCTTATATATTTTATTCTAATTTAATATAGAGATTTTTAAATTATATTCATTTCACAAATAATTAAAAAAAAAAACATATGTACGTACTCACAAATTACTTACTAATTTCTATTATAATAAAAAAATTTAATTATTGATAATTTTAAAAAATATTAAAATTTCATAAAATAAAATAAAAATTATAAAATTTGAGAGATCAAGAAAATATTTAAAAACACTCGCATTGAAATAAATCAACTTAAAACAGTCTCGTCAAAATATGATCTCTACAATATATCTATTCTAAATTTTATATAGTGGAAATTTTAATCATAATTACTATAAAAAAAAAATAAAAGACATTCTATTTTCACTTGATATCTTAACTAAGACGTTTTCAACCTAATGCTGAACGAAAAATAGTGCTAATTTTCACCAATTCTTTTGTGAATTCTGGAAAATGAAAAACAGTGAAAATCAAGTATTACTTTTATAATTATTAATAAAACATATCAACTCAAAAAGAACACAAAAATAAACTAAAGATTACATGAGGTACTGATGGCCCAAACTTGGACACCCAAGTTTACCGAGACAATTCTGTATTGGTATGGTTTATAGCATTGAAGTCTTCAAAGGAAACAAAGTTTGGCAATTCACTTCACTATGACAGTAGCATAGCAACACTTTCCCCAAGATCAAAGTATAAGGCATTCAGAACTCAGATGTTCGCTCATTCCATCTTAAAGATGCACAAAAAAGTAGCATCACCATGGAAGATGGGCAACAACCTTATAGAAAGAACTGTGATTAACAACACCAGTATGCATAGTGCTCATCTTTGCGATGGTTACTAACAAGCCCTCCACACTTCAAACAGATGAAGCTGCTTCCATCAGAAACTGCATCCAACACTACTTGCATCCTGCCACTTTCAGCCAGTATGGAAGTTCCATGAGCATCTGGGGTAGTTGATAATGGACTGCTAATGTTGCTATTGGCAGGTGGTTCAATCATTACAGGTTGAGCTTCAGCAATAGCACACTCAGCAAACAAAGAAGCCAGCTGATCGACTGCAGCATTCTCTTGCAGTCGATTTCTATACAGCTCACGAGCACGATGCAGGGACTGGAAAACAGCTTCATCACCACCTCTACTCTTCATTGCTACAACCACCTGTTCCAATTATAGATAAATACTATCATCCACCAAAACAATGTGCAGATTTATGTTTTCTCTTCTGGCAAGCATAATGCACCTTCTGCTAACATGATTTATGTTTCACACACCACATCAAGCAATTTCCTTGATGGAATGCTTGAATGGTAGAATCCACAAATCCACATCACTTTTTATTATCTAGGTTTTAGAGACATTGATGTCAAAGATAAAACTGTCACATGTCATGTCATGTCACCAAGCCATTCTTAATATTGGAGAAATGAACTGTGTTTGACAATGCATCAGTGAAAATATGACCTCTTGGAATGTATGACAACAACAAAAAAAAAAAACCTCCTACCAAGTGTCATGATTTGATTAAACATGGTAAGTATGTAACAAGAAATCAATTTTGATGATGCAAGCAAAGACTTTTTAAAAAAGCATGAACTTATGTTTCTGCGCAATGTACCTCAAATCATTTAAATGTCTATTTAGGTAAACACAATTTTGGTAGTCTGGGAGTGGGAGAGGAAAGAAGGGGAAAGAATCTAATTAAAATAAAGGGAGAAGGGAAATGTACAGGGATTAATTAATAAGTTTACTTACCATTGTTTAGATGTTTAAAATCCTCCAAAGTCCTACAAATTGGGGAAGTTCGAAATGTTTAGGAGTTGAATGATTATCTCACATTTTCATCAGAGATACGTAATTTGGTACTCATGGGGATTTTTTTTTTATGATTTAAGCACAAAACAGAGATACGCAACACTTGTCTTTTCCACTCCTACAAGAAGTTGGACTGCCCACACAGAAGTGCAGGAGAAGAATGAGTAGCATTAGCATTTATAGTGCAAGAAAAAATCCTTCTTTTTTCATTCAAAAGCACAGTCAGTGTGGTTTCTCATTATCTATTTCAAATCCAAAATAAGCCCATCCAAATCGGTTCATCTTATTTTGAAGAAATAATCACCTACTTTTGCCATCTTTTTGAAAGAGTAACTACAAATAAACATTTATTTCCTGAAAACTAAGTTATATAAAGCAAGTAATCAGGGCTAATTAATTAAGGGAAGCTGCCACCAACTGCTTCACCATCTTAGAATTAAATTTGGACTATAAGCACTTCACAATGCCAATATAAGCACATCATAGATCATATCTTTAGTTGATGCGAGATCAAACAGACTTCACATAATGCCATTATAGTATCAGTTTATAGTCTATCTTTCGCTTGTTCTTGTAAGCATATGTAGAGGAGTAGGTGTTAGAAAATCCCACGATGCCTAATGTCAGCCTCAATCGGTAGGATGCAGTTTAAATACTTCTTAACCAACTTCAATTAATGTCAATTGATTTCAAAATAAAATCTAACACACCCTAAAGCAAAGCTTTCAAGGGAGATTGGCACACAAGACAAGTGAGATATCCCAGTATCAAAATTCAAAATCCCCCAAATGCGAAATTTGACTAATGAAACTTATTAATATATAGAAAGGCAAAGAATTCGCAGGCGCATGCTAAAATTTGCAGCAAATTGACACTGCACAACAAATTGCAAATGAAAATTCAAATCGGAAGTATCTTAATACCGGTTAGTAAAACACTAGCATATAAAATATCCCTAATTTTTTCCCCCAAAATAAAAAATCCCTAATTTTTCTCAATTTCATTAATTTAGCAACTTATAAAACAGTGATTCATTCATTCATTCCACAACAACTTCAAAACGAGTTTCATTTCCAACCCTAGAGCGTGTTTTGCAGACTAGCCCAGTTTCGCTAGAAAGGTGAACATTTAGGCACAGAACGCAAACAAACGAACCCCAAATACTTAAAAAAAAAAAAAAAATCAAAGAGAAAAAAATATGAAAATTAATAATTGAAATGAAAAAGATGAAGAAAAATTACAGCTTGGAGGGCCTGGGAGGGTTTGCCTTGAGTGATGAGGTGGCGAGCCAATGTGAGCAAATCGCGAACGGCGTCGTTTTGGCCGGAACTGGAGGCCTGCGGCTGCGATGGCGCCTCCGCCTCCACCATCTCCGAGTCCATCATGCGATTCTTTTCTTTGTTTCCTCTTCTCTTGTATTATTAATATTCTCTGTCTCTGTCACTTTGATTCTAAACTATGAATATGTCATAGCTAATTAATTACCTTTCATTTTAATTCAATCTGAATGGAATTTATGGTTCGTTTTGGTTCATAAAATGAATTATGAATATAAGTGCTTCGACCAATGCAAATGAATAGAATGCAAATGAATAGAATGCAAATAATGCACCTTATAAATCTACTTAGTTCTAGCACGTTCTTCTGCACTATTTCTCGCCGCGACAAACAAGCATATTTATGATGTCGCGTTTCACTTGGGCTGGGCCTGGTTCCTTGTGTGAAGCCCAAAATTAGGCCATGTGTCCTTCTTCTTCTTTTATGTCAATTGCCAAACGTCTTCTTCTTTCTTATTACTAAACTTATTTTATGTGGTTAATAATTTATTTGAATTTCATTTTTATTTTTTCCTTTTTTTTCTTACCCTTTCCTATGTTTCACTTCTTCTGTGCTGCATTTTTTTTTTCTTTTCCTACTTTCTGATGACGCACTTCTATAGTGAAAATGATTTTTATTATATTTAATAATCATAACTTACATACACAAGACAATTATTGAATTCCATCCTAGAATTTTCTGGTTACTCAAATAACATATACATCCTGGTCAAATAAAATCTGAGTTGTTTTGCTGCTTTTGCTTATGCTCCTAGGTTTGGTGATTTATTATTACGTACATAGTAGAAAAGCTTGTAACATCCACAGTACATGTTGTAAAAGCGGGTCAACCCAGGCCCAATTAATCACACAAGTTGAATGGCAAGTGAAAAAGGCATAAATAACCTTAAAATTTTCCAAACCAATAAAAATAAACATGACAACAAAAAGTGTTATGTTATGGTCCTTTGCCTTTGGAGCGGTTGGTTTAGTATTTTTATGTTTATTTTAAAAATCCTTGCTTCACCTAACTCTACAACTGGCTCTGTGCTGCGGCAAAATCACTTGTACGTTGTACCCCACAAACATACCCTCGCCATTCCCATTAACCCACTAAGCCGGCTTCTCCATGTTGTTCCAAAAATGCTCATTTTATAATGGGTATGAGAAAGACGACATTTTCTCTAATACAGTATACTAATGAGTCTCTTGATTTAATAATAAAATTATTAAATTTTGTAATTTTCAACCGATTGTAAGGAGAATATTAACATGAAAAAAGTGTTAGAGAATGTATGCTTATCATTTCTTTACCTAAATTTATCAATTGCTTGGAGTTGGAGATAATCCTTCAAACCCTTTTTCTCCGAAATGCAACATTATCATTTAAAAATGTGTCCCTCAAAGAGTCTAGCAAATGAATCACAGGTTTATTCATTTATTGTTAATGTCAAGTCGTACACAAACATAATCCACTCTTATCTTTGTGTCATGTTCATATATAAAATTGATTTCCTAAGGGAAAAAAACAAGGAAAAGGCTTCCCACTTGGGTTATTTGCAACTATCCGTTGACATTAAGAACCTTAGAAAACGAACAACAGTGCCTAGTGACAAGGCTGGTTCGATGAATTATATCACACTGTTAGTGTTAATTATAATATTGTGCATTTATTTTATGGTCTCTTTTTGAGCTGGAACGCATGGCCATGCAGAACTGCATTCGTTGCCCATCAATTTATTCCAAATTATGGGAGCAGTTGAGTTAATTTGCTTTCATTAATTCCCTCGATTTTCTCTTCTTTTTTCTTTTGTCAAAATGAACAGAAAACTGTCTGAATTAATGTCTGATCAATCAGTGCTACATAAGATTGCGAAAGTTATGCTGTGTACTAATAAATTAACATTTGAATAGAAACCATACAAGAAATGTTGTAATTTCACTAATTTGTCTTTACTTCACTTGCCATGTGAGTTACTTTTTGTGCATGAGGGACCGGGGCATTAGCTATACGACCATCGTGTGGAAGAAAAAAAAAAGTGTGGTAGCTAAGAAAAACAAGTGTGGCTTTAGGATCGTGAGCAATTTACACAAATTTAGGACCATATGCTTTGGGAAAGCTCCTTTTCTTCGCAATGTAGATTCTCTCCTTTTCAATTGTTGGAGAGTCTTTTCTTGACAACATTGTAATGTTAACGTTTGCATAATTGTTAAATAGTATAATAATATGTTTGAGGTATCAAAGTTTTGGTTTTGATCTTCAGCACAACTAGTGCAAGTTGAATTTGATCACAGTTCGTTTGCCATCACATACAGCCTGCTGGGTAGTAGTCATATTACCGGACAAGGTTTAATTAGTCGACAAACTAATAAATCCCCTGTAACAAATTGATTGAGTAAAACATCAAAATCAATTTAGTTCTTAATTTTTTTTATATCATATATATTTTCTATTAAAGACAAAATTAGATAAAACTATTATAGACGATAAAACTTTTTTTTTAAAATATTTTAAGTAATTACATATTTAGAAATTCAACTTAAAATTACTACTTAAGTTATAACAACTTTATTCTAATTGATTTACACATTGTAAAATATTCGTTTCTTAAAGTTAATATGTCACGAATTTGATTACTCATATGAGTTATTGACTTTATCATGAGTTAAGAAATTTATTTTTTTAAAATTGTCATTTCTAATTCTATTTTTAACAATATAAATTTCATCAAAACAATTTGTAAATTTTAAAATTAGAAATAACTTTTGTTTGAGAACTTAGAGTATTCCCTAATGGAAAAAAAAATAAATTTAATTTTCAATGTATTAAGGTTTATTTAGAAGTTAACATCCCCTCATAGGTGTTTTTTCATAAAAATTTGAAGATCAAACTCTTGTTCACATATTTGAAAGTCAAAATTATCAGTCAACCATCCATAATTAATGAAATAAAACACTAAATTTACTTTACGAAAAAAAAAACACTAAATTTACTTTTGCATGGTGTAACCAAAATGACTCATGGTACAAATTTCAATGACTAGATGGAAGTTTTAAACTGCCATATAGCATTGCTGAGTTCTCCGACCCTCCCAATTGGAAAACAGAAAATCATGATACAATGGCTATGGTATATAACTTGGAATTGGAAGTAATAATTTATCATCTCCACGCATTGACTTGAAATATAGAAACAATTAATAAGAACATGGATGGACCATCACAAAGTTCAGTTCCAATTATACATTACACAGAAAAGGTAAAGAAAGGAAAGTTACAAAAAGAATTGCAACCCAAATAATGCCTTAGGCACCTAAGGAATGGAATGTTGAAATGGAAGCTTACAAGGGATGAGACTATGAAACCACATGAATGGACACATCCTTGGTGTTGCAAAGAACTCAGCACACTCAACCACTGATCTCTGAAAGGGAAGATCAGGAACACAATTGTTCCTAACATCAAGAACCCCTCTCTGAATCAGCATCCTACACAGTGGCCCCACATGAGTGAAATAGTTATCTGATAATGAAAAGTTGACCAAGTTCACCAACCCTGCGCACACCACTTCTGGAACCATGCCATACAAAAGATTACCACCAAAATTCAGCACCTCCACTTTCTCAAGGCAACTTAGAGACAAAGGCAAAGGACCTGTCAACATGTTGTTGCCAACATCAAACACTGTGGCCTCTTCAAGAAAACCAATCTCATAGGGCAAGCAGCCGGTTAACTGGTTGTTGAGTAGCAACACCTCAGTGAGAGTGGCTAGTGCTTTGGGAAGGCTTCTTGGGATTGGACCCATGAACTTGTTGTTTGCCAAAGTGAGCAAGAGAATATGAGTGGAGCCTAAATCATCAGGCAACCCTTGAGTGAAAATATTGTTGTTTATGAAAAGGACTTGAAGGTTCTGTGTGAATACTTGTGGTGGAACTGCCCCAGAGAAGAAATTGAACCTTATGTCCAAGAATGTTAAAGTGCTCATGCCTAGAACAGCAGAGGGAAATGGACCGGTTAATCGGTTGTTGCTAACATCAATCTCATAGAGGTAAGGGAGCTTGGAGATTTTTGGTGAGATTGTGCCACCAAAGTTATTGGAGTTTGCATGGAAGAGAGCAATATCAGGGAGGTTGTCAATGAAGCCATCAAGAGTGGAAGCAGATAGTTGAAAACCATTGAAGTCAATAGAGGCCAAAGCAGTGGCAGAATTGTTGTCTGGTGGGGTGTCACAGTAGAAGCCCTTGTAGCTGCATATATCTGATCCAACCCAAGTTCTGGTCACTCCTAGTGGATCTGAGGTGATGAGGGACTTGAATTTTTGGATTATTGGATACACCACTTCAAGTCTTTGGTCTGCAAAAACAAGAGGGGGTGAAGTTGGACTTGGAGTTGGAACTGCTTGAATGGTTGTTGAATTTTGACATGGTGTTGGTGTTGCGTCCAATTTGTTGTTGTGGCAACCTTTGGATGAACCACCACCACCACCTTTGGTCCTGTGGCCACTACTAGTTCTGAAATTTTGTGCGACTCTGACATCATGTGGTGGTGACATGTGGATTGGAAGGGACAGAAAGAGGATGCACAAAGATGTGAGCAACAATTTTTTTGGCATGGTGCTACTACTCATGATCTTGGCTGTGCTCCTCGAACTCTAACACTTGATTTGTTTGGTTTTGAAGCAAAGTAGGCAGAAACAGAAAGAGGTGCAGTTTATTAGGCCAACTTTCAAGAAGCACTTTAGTGTGTTTAAGCAAAATGATTGGGCGGATAATAATCCATGCTTTATATCTGGATATTGGTATACTATGATACACCATACTTTATATATATATATATATATATATATATATATATTCTACTATCTTCCACTTCTAGTTTCGTCACATGAACGTCATATTTTATCCCAGACACCATTCCTTTTTTCTTGCGTGTTAATAATATATATTTAATTACTTAATAGACTTATCTGATCGGAATAAAATTATATTATGTAAAAGATATTTAAAACCTCGTTCAAGGAAATAATTTAAACTTACTTTAGATGTAATTGATTCCCACCTCCGTGATCAATCAATACACTTTATTAACTAATAATTTTTTTATTCATTAAAATAACCACGACATCAATATTTATATCTTGTGAATATACTATATCTCAACTTCTGCCGGTCTATTATAGTTAAGTCAATTTTAATAATTCAAAAAAAAACATTCTCACTTGCTAGATCCATTTAAAAAATATAATAGTATTTATTTATCATAAATTTTTTATTATTTTAGTTTTCTGGTTTAAGGAAAAAAGTACAAAAAGAGTTTAATAAATATATACTTTCAATGTAATTTATACCTATAAGTAATAAAAATAGTTATCATTTATATAACCTTTAAAATAATTATTATAAAATTAGTAAATTTATCGTACATAACAATTATTATAATTATATTATAAAATATATTATTAATTTATATATTATTTTTTAAAAGTGTATCTTTTATTTTCACTTTGTTATGGGTTAACGGTGTTTATATTCATGTAAATTTAACGATCATTATTTTTTATTCCTAACTTTTAGAACCTTCACTTTTTGCATGTTGTAAATAATATTCATGTATCTTTTAAAACATGTCCTTGCATGTTGTAAATATCCAGACTTACATCCATAAGTCTAACCCTCTCTTGTGATGAAAAATTGACATATTTTGTACATTAAGGGATGGAAGTTTTGATATGCAAATGTTGAGTTTATTTGAGGAAATTTTTTTAGAAGTACGTTTAAGAAGAGAAAAATAAGAAGAAAAAATAAAATTAATTTTTCTATAAATTAAAATTAGTTATTTTTATATTTTAGTTTGCAAAAGTTTTCTCATCACAAATTTTAAAATTTTATTTTTAATTTATGTGTAAGCTCATTTTAATTTATGGAGAAGTACTCATCTTCATTTTTCCTCCTATCTTTTTTCTTTTAGAAGTGTTTCAAAAGAGGTTTACTCAATCAGAATCATAATATAATTTTAAGTTTTCATATATCTTTAAGGTCATTTTTAATAAGGGTTCTTAAATATAAGAACAAGTTCTTATAAATTTTACTATTAGAGCTTGTTAACGTAAATAATATGGTGTAAGAACCACTCTCAGAACCTTCAAAATTTGGTTTTTATTAATTAAAAATATTTTTATTATTATCACTTAAATCAAAATCAAAATCAAAATAAAAAATTGGAGTCCATCGTAACACTGAATGATTTATATGCTTTATTATATAATTATATGTTTTGTTGTGTTTTAATGTTGATATATTGTATTATTGTTTTTTAGAGTTCTAAGAGGTAAGAGATCCTTGAGAGTTAATTTATTTCTATAGTAGTTTTTGTTTAAGTCAAGTTAACCAAGTTTAGCGAAAGGTATTTACAGTTTTTCTTAAGACGTGATTTCATAAATTTGTATCTTAAGAAAAGTTAGAGAGAAGTTAGAGAGAAAAACTATAGAGCTGATGAGAATCTTTTTCTTCTCCTGACCCCACAAAGTACCTAAGCTCTTTGGTTAGGGATGGCAACACGGCGGGTCGGGTACGGGTTTTATGATACCCGTCCTCGTCCCTGCGACACAAACTCATCCCCGTACCCGTACCCGTACCTGTCGTGTATGTGATTTTCATTCACATCCTCGTTCCCGTCGGGTATCGAGTACCTGTCGTGTATGTGATTTTCATTCACATCCTCGTTCCCGTCGGGTATCGAGTATACCCGTACCCGTACCCGTAAAAAATTATTTTTTTTTACAAAAAAAATATATAATATTTTTAAATTATTTTTTTATTATATTATAATTATATTTAGATTATTTCTTTATCTCATATTTTAATCAAGAGATTTCTTAATAATTTCACAACTATAAATATTTCACATTATAATAAATAATTACACATAATAAAATATTATTTTTTTAATATAATTAAATCGGATACGGGTACGGGTACGAGGCGGGTATGTATATACCTATACTCGTACCCGTACCCGGTTTAATTTATCGAGTTTTACCCGTACCTGTACCCGGTCAAACCGGGTATTCCCCGTCAAAGTCGGGACGGCTACGGGTTTATTTGTCATCCCTACCTTTCGTGTAACTGATTAGTAGTGGTAGACTGGAGATTCAAGGCTTGAGAGTTGAGAATTTGAGGTTGAGTGTGTCATATGACAACCCTAGGAACTTTCATTCTTCCTTCCCTTTTCTTGCTTTTGGAGTAAGGTAAGAGAAATTTGTTGAGTTGTAATGCTTGATTTATGTTTGAACTCACCAAATTGATGTTTGTTTTTTATTGAATCAAGATTAGAGATGACTTGTCTTGAGTTTTATTCTTGGAAGTTATTTTAAAGAGAATTGGTGATTCTTGTTTTTGATGATTACATGTTGTTTCTTGTGTTGAATTTAAATTGTTGATCATGTATGTACATTGATTCAAGTTGTATGTTGGTTAAGATGTTATATTTGTAGGTTTTTGAGTCGATTCTGCCAAGCGCAAAAATCGTCATCATATCGAGCACAATTTCTTGGTGTTGGGTGTGATGTAGGTCAAGGGCACTAACATTAGGTGCATGATTGGTAGCATTGGGCATGACTTAGTTAAGAGGTCTCTGATAGGGTCACACTAAACATGGAATGAGAGGCTCTTTGACTTGGTGACACTGGACGTAGGATTTGTGACATCAGACATGACCCAAGTCAATGGTTCTCTGCCTGGACGACATCGAACGTGGATTTTGTGGCATTGAACATGGATTAGGTAGAGGCTCTCTACTTGGACAACGTCAAGCATAGGTTTAGCTACACCAAGCGTGATTGACACAAAGACTCCCTGTCTTGTTTATGCCAAACATAAGTAGAATGGCACTAGGCATGGGTGAACTAGAGGCTTTCTAACTCACCAATGCCAGGCACTAGGTGGCGTCAGACATGGATATGTTGAAGGAAAACTTGTTCTTTAATTGTCTAAGTGTTGAGGATATGTTGATATCTTGATTACTTATATGATATATGATATTGTATGATTTTAGTTCATTGTGTATTGATCTATGATAATGTACAATGATGTTTAAATTGTTTTTAAGTTGTAAGTTACCTGTGGATGATAGTTAACTAAGTTGTGTAAGTTGTATAAACATGTGATACATGCTTAAGTTAAGATACATAAAAGCAAGAAGAGAGTAAAGTTGTTTTAGAAATTAAAATATTTAATTGTGTAAATATAAGTTGTGGTGTTCCAAGAGCCCAAAGTTGAAAACTCTTCAATGAGTAAGTTGCCTCCTAAATGAGAAGTTGTTTTTGAGTTATCTCCTCTAGGTTTTTATGTAGAATAATATGGGGCCAAGTCAAGTCATATTGATTAAGTGCTCAATTAAGTAAGGTATGAAGTCGAGGGGTAAAATGCTTAACTAGTTACTGGAAAGATGTGCAGTATTTGAAAGGTAGTTGGTAGACTAATTCCATAATAGGCTTAGTTGTGTATGTTAAGGTCATATAGACTTACACCCAAGTTGTTCTATCCTTGACAATAGTATTAGACTTTCTTAGTTTAAGTAGTGAAACTTGAGAAATCAAAATAAATTGTTAAACAGGTGCTTGACTAGCCTGAAGTTGTCTACAATTGGCCTACAAAAGATAGGTAAGTCGTTGTGATTCGGTAAGATCCCAACATTTAAACTGCTCACCTCAATTGTAAGAGATCTCCATAAGTTGATATATGTAACAACACATTAGTTGTTTAAAGTTGTTAAGTTGTGTATGAAGTTGCTCGTGTTGAGAAAGATTGTAAATTGTGAATGATGATTGAAGTTGATGTTATGCTTTGAGCTAACCATTGGTTTAATTAAGTTGTTTGTGTTGCTAAGTTAGGATGTCATTACTTGTTACTATGTTGTTTCTTTCACAAGTTTACCTTTTTTTTTCGTTGTTGTTGAATTGCAGCGATCATACTTGGTATGAGAATAAGACATGATTAAGTTGGATGACTTGTTTGGTGGAGGGTCATGCTAAAAATAACCTAGTTTTTGAGTTGTATAGTTCTGATATAGTATATTTGTATAGAAACGCTTGACTGGAAATAGGCTTTTACACTTTTAGTATTTTTCACTTTGATGTATATGGTATATATGTATAGGATATATATGTAACCTTATAAGGAGTTTTAATTTTTCCAATCATATAAGTAGGAATTATTTTATGCTTTATGCATCTTATACAGATATTTGTTGCATGAATGACTAGGTAGTGTTGAATGTGAATCCTAGAGTAATTGAATACTTTATTTTTTTGATGCATAGTAATTGTACTATATTAAGTATAGTGATTCGTCGAGTCATTACATCCATAAAGTGAATCAAGAACTCAAGTTACATTGAGGAAAAATAAAGAAAGTTCTTAAATTTTAAGTGACATTAAGTGACCCACCAAAAATAAATTAAGAACTCAAAATAAGTTGAAAATAAGCTTACTAATTTATTTATTTTTTGTATAATAAGGCCCATTTAGAAGAGTTCATGAACAACTTACTTGTAGTTATCTTATTTTATAAGTGCTTATGAGAGTATTTTGATAAACTTATAAAATATCTTATAAGTATAGCTAAGAGTAAAAATAAACTGAACCAACTTAAAAATTGTTTGAAGCTCGATTCGATAGATAACTTATTGAACTTGGCTCATGAATCAAATGAGTTAAGCTTGAATTAAAGGTTGAGTTTGATAATCAAAATTGAATTATACATCGTTCAGCTCATTTAGTTCATTAA